GAGCTTGTCTCTCCTCGATTTCATGGCTGCTAAGAGATGATTCCTCTTTGCAGTCTCTCTCCCTCCGTCTGCTTTTTGCCTTATGTTATCAGCACCGACAGAGATAATAAGTATACTAAGGCACAGCTGGCCATAGAGAAGGGAGAGGGGAGAGGAGAGAGGGAGGGAGCATGTGTGTACAGACTGAGTAATGCAAGTAATGCAAATTTGTAAAAGGTGCGTGTGTGTGTGTGTATTTGTGTCAAAGATTTTATTTTCTTGTTTGGCATGCAATATCCTCTTTACACAATAACTCCTTTATATTGCCTGTAGCCTTCTATGATGCTTTTTGATCTACCTGTAGAATGCTGCTTCTAATATAATAATAGCCTTTGAATCTGCCTGGGGTTTAAACAGAAATATAAACTGAGTTGGAATAGATTTATAACGGGAATAAGGTAGACTGGTCTCAGGCTTGAGGACCAGAATTGAACTGCTACCACTTTCGTCCATTTTCCCTGGCTGCAAGAGCTCTGTGAAGCAAACTCCAGGACTTTTCTTCTTCCACAACCCTCAGCCAGTAACTTGAGGGAATGTTGGATAGCTCTGTTGCATCTCTACTCAAACACTATCCAAGACTTAGAGAAGGGAGAACAATGTGTGTTTTAATGAAAAGGACATCTGTTTATATAGGGAAACACAAAGGGGAGGATAAAACATAACAACCAATAACAGACACAGTGAAAGTTTTAAATAACAATAAAATGTGTAATTACATTACACCAATTCCCCCTGCATGCCAGAGGATGTGAGCAGCACTAACTCAATCAGCTGTGCTGATTAAAATTACTGAAAGACCTCTTCAGACCCCTAAAGTACTTCAGCTTGCTGAAATGCTTTATATGTGAAGAAGTGTGCCCTCTTTTTTCTCCTTTCCTATTGCAAAGGCCATATTTACAGATCTGAATTTAAAAAAATCTGAACTATTTGCTTGCAAATAGTTAAAAAAACAAATCCACACATTTCAATAGAGGCAGGAGAATTAATTATGTGACGACTGGCCAGCACTTGCACTAAATAAATAAAAAGCTTATGGGAGTCAATAAAATCCACACATTTCAATAATGGTGACAGGTGACAGGTGAGGGCACGTCCACTAAGCATTTAAACTACAGACTGGGCAGCCTGAAAAATAATGGGGAGGGACAATCCCCCCCTTAGACCCCCAACTGTGGGCACTGCTAAAGAACATTTAAAAAATAAAAACAAATGGTGGTTTGACATGTCATAAAATAAATGGAAGGTGGACATGCTTATGTTGCACTGCCAGAATCAGTGGTCAGCGAGTGGGGCTACTATAACATTCGGGGGGGGGCAACACCAAGAGTCTACACCACTCGCCCTCAACCATTGGTTTAATTATACAATATGTGGGGTTGGGTGGAAATGCAATTGTCCATAATTCCCGATGCAACTAATGAAGATGAAAAAAAGAACCAGCTTCGGAAGCCAACCAATCAGAGCCCTCTGACAGGCAAGTCTCAAGAGAAGTAAGACTTCTCTCAAGACCTGGCTGTCAAATTGCTTTGACATAATTAACCCTAGCATTACTGAGATATTTCAAACTATTAAATTATTTGTTTACTGGTTGCTAGTGCTGCAAGCAGACTAGTAGCACTTAAAATTAGCATTCACTTGCATGAAATTAAATGAATGATAACTTGCGAATACGCATCTTGATGAACTTGTTGCTTTATGAATCTTCTGAACCTTACACTTTGTATGCTATTTGGATGCAAAAGCGATAGTTTTAATCTGGACAACAAATCCATCAGGGGTGATTGCTGCAGATTTGCTCATACCAACTGAATTCAGACCACATCAGAATTGCCATTGTGGTCAGAATTCAGTCATTTACTACATTTTGCCCATCCAGACAAAATCTGGTGTTTACTGAATAATTCTGACATTTTCATAATGTCCCCTGATTAGGGGTGAACTTTGCCTTCTAATACACGTGCAGTGATGTCATCTAATGTTTATTTGTTTCATGTTATCATAATCATGTTTGCCTTATTAACCAGTGAACTTTGAAACTTTTATGGCTTGAATATAAAGTCCCCTGGTCTGCATTTGAATTACAGTTGTATGTTTCCACCTCTCTGGCTTTTGACCATGGCTCTGGTTTCGACTATGCTTAAAGTGGCACTGTCATGGCCGAATCCTGTTTTTTTTAACCCCCCCTCCCGACTCCACTACATCTAACTGACCCCCAAGTCACCCCCAAATGCCCCTAAGCTCCCCACATTACCTATTTTTTTATCTTTATTTTCTACCTCGACCTATATTCAGGGCACCACCATCTTTGTGTTGGTAGATGAAGTCCCTGTGGGACACGTCAACTGCCCACACTAGATAGCGCTGTGAAATTCCCGCATATGTCCAGTTAAACACTTGGGCATGCGAACAGGAATTTCATCAATTCATTCATTCGTCATAAAGACGAATAAATGAGCAGAAATGTCAGACGAACAAACACCGAATATCAGTGTTCGTTTGTTCGTTCAATTTATTACAAGGAGGGAGCTACATACACGCAGCTCCCTCCTTGTAATATGTAAAGATAGAAGCGGCAGTTAGCAGTGCTCCCCGCCACTTCATAAGCCCCCCATGTCCTCCCTCACTCTATGGGGGTCAAAATGACCCCCATAATAGCATAAGGGAGATTAAAATCTCCAGAATCTCGCTATACCGAGAGTACAGCCTGCTCACTGTTAAAAAAAAAAACCCTAGTACACCCCCCCGAGCGGCGGGTGGGGGCCCTAAAGGATAATGAGGAGGAGGGCTTATTGTCCTCCTCGCCGGCCCCACCACTAAGCGGTGGGTGGGGCCCATAAATAACGAGGTAGGGGGACCTATTGTCCTCTCCCCCGGCCCACACCTCTGAGCGGTGGGTGGGGGCCATAAATGATAATGAGTGGGGGACCTATTGTCCTCACCCCCCCAGCCTCCACCTCTGAGCGGTGGTGGGGGCCATAAAAGACAATGAGGGGGTTGACCTGTTGTCCCCCCCAACCCCCACCCCTGAGCAGTGGGTGGGGGCCATAAATGATGAGGGGGGACGTATTGTCCTCCCCCCGACCCCTGAGCGGAGGGGGTGACCTATTGTCCTCCACCACCCCCTGGCCACCATCCCTGAGTGGCGGGTGGGGGCCCTAAATTGTAATCCATTCAATGGATGCTCTGTCATTTTACACAGCGTGGGAAAATTGCAAAGAACTTTCCCAAGCTGTGTAAAATGACTAGCACTCTGATTGGATGGATTTCAAGCCATCCAATCAGAGTGTAATGAGTCATTTTACACAGCATAGGAAAGTTCTTTGGAATTTCCCCACATTGTGTAAAATGACACAGAGCACTTTGATTGGATGGATTTCAAGCCATCCAATCAGAGTGTTCTGAGCCTAATTGCAGGGCGAATCAAGGCTTTATAAGCCTTTTCCCGCCCTGCGGAGCTCAGTCTGCGCCATGCCCTTGCCGGGTGAAGATGATGGATTCATTTTTTAGCGTCAGGCTTTTTCTTTTTCAGGTGATTTTTTTTTTTTGTGCTCAGTTTTTTTTATTTTATTTTTTACAAGTTCAATGGGTATTACGGTTTTTATATGGCCTTTATTGGGGCTGAAAAATGAAGATTTTAGAAAAAAGAAGACCTCAAAAGTTAAATTTTTGTTTACAGGTAGTTAGTTATTTTATTCCCCCCTCACTATTTTTAGGGTGAGAGGGCTAGGTAGGGAATTTTTTTTTTATTTGGGTGGGAGGGGTGACTAGGGGGTTGGGGACCCCTAGTCACCTTGGAAGGGGGGAGGGGGAGATTTTAATTTAGGGCCCCCACCCAGGGGTCGGGGGGACAATAGGTCCCCCCCCTTATCCTTTAGGGCCCCCACCTGCCACTCAGAGGTGGGGGCCAGGGGGGTGGGGTTACTAGGTTTTTTTTTGGTTTTTTTTTTAACAGTGACGCTGGGGAGGAAGGACGGAAAGCTTCTCTCCCTGGATTGCACACTGCCGCTAGGGAGCAAGACTGGCTGTC